TGTATTGATTGTTAACATATGTATTGATTGTTTACATGTGTATTGCTTGTGTACATGTGTATTGATTGTTTACATGTGTATTGATTGCTTACATGTGTATTGATTGCTTACATGTGAAATGATTGTTTACACGTGTTTTGTTTGTTTACATGTGTTTTGATTGCTTAGATATATATTGATTGTTTACATGTGTATTGATTGTTAACATATGTATTGATTGTTTACATGTGTATTGATTGTTAACATGTGTATTGATTGTTAACATGTGTATTGATTTTTTACATGTGTATTGATTGTTTACATGTGTATTGATTGCTTACATGTGAATTGATTGTTTACATGTGTATTGATTGCTTACATGTGTATTGATTGCTTACATGTGAATTGATTGTTTACATGTGTATTGATTGCTTACATGTGTATTGATTGCTTACATGTGAATTGATTGTTTACATGTGTATTGATTGTTTACATGTGTATTGATTGTATTGATTGCTTACATGTGTATTGATTATTTACATGTGTATTGATTGTTAACATGTATATTGATTGTTTACATGTGTATTGATTGTTTACATGTGTTTTGATTGTTTACATGTGTATTGATTGCTTACATGTGTATTGATTTCTTACATGTGAATTGATTGTTTACACGTGTTTTGTTTGTTTACATGTGTTTTGATTGCTTACATATATATTGATTGTTTACATGTGCATTGATTGTTAACATGTGTATTGATTGTTAACATGTGTATTGATTGTTTACATGTGTATTGATTGCTTACATGTGTATTGATTGTTTAGATGTGTATTGATTGTATCGATTGCTTACATGTGTTTTGAATGTTTACATGTGTATTGATTGCTTACATGTGTATTGATTGTTTACATGTGTATTGATTGTTTACATGTGTATTGATTGTTTACATGTGTATTGATTGTTTACATGTGTATTGATTGTTAACATGTGTATTGATTGTATTGATTGTTTACATGTGTATTGAATGTTAACATGTATATTGATTGTTTACATTGTATTGATTGCTTACATACAATTCAACAGAAAATTGTTGTTTCCATATATAAACTATAGTAACCTTTACCCTCTCACCAAGGGAGAACGGATAGCTCGGGGGTCCTGAAATTTACAATTTAAATAAAGCCCCTGATGATCTTTTCATCCATGCAGAGACAACGACTGTTATACCTCTGAGTCTGGAGAAGAAGATTTTTGAAATATTGGCTAATTTTCCCTTTTGGGCCCCGCCCTGGCCCCTAGGGTTGGGGTAGGAATCCCAATTTTACAATTTAAAACCATCTTCCTCCTCCAAGGATAATTATCACCAAGTAAAAATAATTTCCAACAGAAATTGTCAAAATATACCCAAAAGTGTTGTTTCGATATATAAACTATAGTAACCTTTACCCTCTCACCAAGGGAGAACGGATAGCTCGGGGGTCCTGAAATTTACAATTTAAATAAAGCCCCTGATGATCTTTTCATCCATGCAGAGACAACGACTGTTATACCTCTGAGTCTGGAGAAGAAGATTTTTGAAATATTGGCTAATTTTCCCTTTTGGGCCCCGCCCTGGCCCCTAGGGTTGGGGTAGGAATCCCAATTTTACAATTTAAAACCATCTTCCTCCTCCAAGGATAATTCTCACCAAGTAAAAATAATTTCCAACAGAAA